GGGGGTAACTGGACTAAAGGAGAATTGGTTTGAAAAAGGACATCGGACTAGTTATATAAATAAGAGGTATATTGATCAGAGTTGGTTTGGACGACCAATTTGCTTGAAGTGTATGAAAAGTGAAAGTTATAAACACTGTTAAGAGACCAAAGATTTCCAATTAGATGGAGTTACTATTAAATTTTGCCGTTTGTGCTTATAGCACCCTTATTCTAAATAATTTTAGAAATTAATATAGATAAAACTGTAATTAGTTAATTTGGAATTTAAAATAAAGTTAACATTTTGATATTTGTGCACCCGGAAACAGTTTAAATTTTAGATATCGACTCAGCTTCCATAAGTACAGTTGCGGAGCAATTATTCCTATTTTGGAAATTTGATCATTGTCACAACAGTACGGATCAAGTTTTAGTTCTTCTCAAATTTCCTTTTGTATCGATTTTGTAATGCTCTCACAATTTAAATTTGAATAGTAGTGAATAAAGCAATGCCTTACGGATTAAGTTAAAATGCTAAAATTCTTCTCGAGCTACCTTGAAGATAATCATACTCAACCTATTTTGAAAAAAAGTGGATGGATCATCATCTTAGCCGATTCTCAAAGAAGTGAGGTATTAAATTCGAGCTGAGAATTGAAGGTAAACCCTAATTCCAGTTATTAGTTTCCTTTACCTCATTCACGAGGTTAAATTTATGCAGGCACCCTTTCAGATATAGTTTAGTGAAAACTGGGTGATAATAATTAGTTCTCAAGGGATGACTTTACTAACACCAGCCAAACTAATGCCATCTCTCTCTCGCGTTTATTCCTTACTAAATATATAATGTTGCCAAAAATACTACATCTTGTACATATGTAAGCCTTATTTTAAAAAGAAATCTAACAAGTTATTTCGTTATCTTATTTCATAAAATTTAGCAATGAGAAGAATTCGCTTAGCAATAAATTTCGTTCGAAACTATCATTTTACACACGCCTTTTATTCAGGCTCAGGAGTGCTGTATAAGGTTTTACACTCCTTACATTGAGCTGAGTTAGTAGCTCTATGTAGCGAGCCTCAACCACCTCTGTATTCGGACAACTTGTCTTTGAATTTCAAGGAATGCAATAGCTTACAGCACTTTTGAATATAAAAGTGTTTGGAGATATCTCGAGAAATAACTCTTCCATCAACACTGATATGTTTTGTATACTTTGTAAGTAGCAAAGCAGTTTTCCAATTAAATAGACTGGATAATGTAATCGATATTAATGATATTATTTTTATTATTATTTTCTTAATGTCTGCATGTTAACTCAAATTCATAGGAAACTGTCTTTCATAAAGGAACAGAATTTATTTCCATTCACTTATGTACTTTGTTTTTATTCAAAACTCATTGTTGAGCGTAAATACACGTGCTCAACAACACCAACAAACCAAATTGAAAAATAGCCCGATTCGTGCTTAAAAAGCAACTCACAGTTATTTTTGATAATAGCATATATTCAGAGCAAAATACAGGACACCTCCACCCGATATAACTTTGTCAACATCGATTTAAAGGCTAAAATTATACTTTTGGAATCAGGATTAGCACCTTCATATTTCTCCCCTCTGAAATAACAGACGTCAAAAGTCGCCTAACAAATGAATCACGTGACATGATTTACAACCGATATCATTGAACGAACCCTAAAGTTTTAACGCACAAATAATTTTAATCACTTTTCAAATGAATATGAAGCTGAAAATCTCTCAACAACAATTAAAATTTCAAATGTCCGGAAACATTGCCTATTCATGTTAATATCTCCAAACATAACTGTTAAATTCTTTGTTTGCAAGCAATAAAACCAACTGCCAAATTACTTTTATCTAGTATTTTAAATTGAATTGGACTATAGCTAAGCAAGAACGAGAATCTCATTCAATTCATTCCATTTCGCAATTTCAGCCCATAAAAATTGAAAATCAACCTAGAAGATCAGTAATCAACTTTAAATATTTACCACAATGTTTCTTCGTAATAAAACAAAAAGTAGTAGCAAAACCAACTTAAGAATCTAGGAATCATGCAAAAATCATAAAATAATAAGTTTTCCCAATGGCTAAACTAATCCGAAGGCAACGAGAAAAGTTTTGTCAATAACTCAAATTAATTATTGATTTAAATTATTACGCACCATGATTTAAGGTACATTGAAAAGAAGAAAGGGACATTTCGGATTTTCTATTTATTGATTAATTTTAAGCAATTCGAATTCGGGCAATTTAATTACAATATGCAATTTCAAATCATACAAGGAAAATTGTTTTAACATCGCGTGGTGCAATAGTTCGTTCGCTGTTGGTTCAAAATGTCTCGTGAAATTTATATCAGTGCAACGCCATTATTGTTATTAAAAATCTGTTCTATAATCTTAAACTAAAGTGGTATAATTAAACTGTCTTTTGATATGGGCCAAAATAGATTTTAATAGAGTGTTCGTAAAAGTTTCTATGAAGTGAATGACCAATAAAAATGCTACCATGGATATAAATTTGTAGAGATGACAAAAACTAGTAAAATCACATATACCACGGAGAATGGGGTAAAAGGTCATTTCATAGCCGAGATCCAATGCTCATTAAGTTAGGTCCAACTCACTGATACGATTTATGGTATTTATAAATAAAGTCCACTTAAGAAGACAATTTTTTCGCCTGCCCTTATATCGTGACTACCCCGCATTCACAGCTTAAAATAGACTTTAAGAGCGCAAAGCATGTTTAATGTTCAATGTTAATGTTTAAATCTTGTTAGTCAATTTCACCTGCCAATATCGTGAATATTAGAATAAAACTCCCGAAGCTTTTCATAAACCATCCTAGCTCATCAACTGGCTAATGAGCTTCGAACCACGAATAAGTGGATGGTGTTTGAGATATATGCAACTAATAATCAAATTGTGCTGGTTTATTTGAAGTCTAGAGTTAATTTCGACCTCTACTTGATCACCACCACTTGATGGTCCAATGTGAAACTATTTAAGTCGAAAGGATGCATATCACGTGGACCATCTACTTAGATAAGGGGCATTAGCCAAGATTCTTAGAAATACTGAAGCAGACGAAATTAAAGTAATATTTGAAGAAAGAGAAAACTAATGTTAAAATGGTAAAGGTAATAGTTGCGAAAATTAACCCATAAGTTAAGTAGTTGGCTAGACAAACTTTTTAAGCCATATCAAATTTGTTATAAAGCACTGTAAAATATGCTATATTCAAATTTCACTTGATGAAAAGTTGCGTCCGAAACCATTCTTCTAAGATTTTCTAACGAAATTAATTCATCAAATGTCATGAGATATCAAGGTATCAGGAGATAAAAGGAATTGTATACGGCTCGAACTCCAAAAATCTTGATTATTCAGAGATGCAATCTTGAATTTCACCTTTCAACTGACTCCCACATCTCTCGCTTATCGGAATGAAAGGCCTTTCTTAAAAAAATTAATCAAATTAAGATTAAGGTAATTGTGAGCTAAGAGAAAGTGAATAGTATTGCTTATTTTTTGGAAGCAATCTAGGCAGTTCTTCAGCGCATCAACTGGATGATGCGATATATAAATGGAAATAGAAAACCAAGTATAGCATCTTTTGAATTTATACAAGCTCTGCGTTTCTTCGATGCTAAATTTAGGATTTGTTTAGCCATTCATCAGGTGAAATTCGGTAAAAGATACAACAGATTGGTAAACAAATTATTCTTTTATTAAAATTTAAAAGATAGTCATTGGAATGAATAATATCTATTGGTAACAATTCTAAGGATAGTGAAAGTAGGTTCCTCATTATTTTAAACATTTTCAACGAAAATTAGAATACTTATTGTGGCACATACGCAGATACCAAGCGATTTCAATTAGCATTTCGTTGCCAAAACGCCTTATAGAAAAGGAAAAGTCAGGCTTACTTAAGTGATATCAGGCACGAATGCAGAAAAAAAGATATCTTCTTGCGAGAATCAAAAATGTTACAATTGACGGTTGAAAAGTCAAAGTTTATTGGAAACGAATTTTAAAGTTTTGCCTAACGAGAAGAAAATTTTAAACAAATCAAATTGGCCAATCACCAACGTGACCTAGGGAAAAATGTCGATCAAAGTTACTCACGTGAAGCATTATCAAAGTGAGCAATTGCATTCGTAATACTAGAGATTTATATATCTTTTCCTACTTTGAACATGGCACGCATAGATATCCGCATAACTGACCTTACTATTTTCACAATAAAATTATGTCCTACTTCGTAATTATTACTTTTATAAAGTTACATAGAGTTTTCAAAATAGAGCCATAAGAAACGTACTGCAAACCCATAAAGTATTGAAGCAATTTCTCTAAGTTGGACTAGTTGTGATTAAAGCAATTTGTTTGATTAAAGTGAGAATATTCGGCATAAAACCCAAATTCTCTATTCAGAGATATCAATAATTTAAATAGAGGACTTGTTGCTATGGTGTCTACCGAACTCATTGTTTAGATCTCTTTGACGCTATTGTTCTACTCATTGATATAATTCCCACATAACTGAGTCATAACGGAATAAAACTTCCTTTGTCAAAACAAAAAAGCAAAGATATTTGAACTCGGCTTGAACGTCACAAGCAATAATTTCTCTTATACAGCACCTGAAAATTAAGCCAAGTAAGACCAAATCTAAGTGGAAAATGTTCGCCTATAGGACGCATGGTCTTTAGGCAGTTATTCGCATTCTTGCATGTATGAAACTAGCTAACTATTCAACTAAACGAATTTCTCAAAATAAGATTAAGCAATTGTTTTGTTTTAGTGTACTAAACAAGTTCAGGCACAAATAAAGGATGTCCGAAATAAGCATATGTAGGAGAACGCCATGCAGATCCATAAATTAATAGCATTTTATGCCTTCCAAAAAGTTAATCTTTGCCTGAACGGATATGGATTTGATGTGATATAGTTCAATTTATGAAGGATAAGTTGGATGGAAAACTTACATGAAAGGAGGTGCTGAACTTGGACAAGGCACGTCGGAATCAGTTGCTCTAGAAGAGCTAGATTGAGCTGATTTTCCTTGTTCCTCTTTTTTCTTTGTTGCCTCCGAGATGATAGAAGGGTCATCAGGAAATATATCCTCGATGCCCTTATTAACAACAGTGTTGGAGAATTCCAATTGAACCACGCACATATTCAGCTCAGCATCGTAGCGAATAACACGTCCTCGACGAAAACATTCAGCAAACCTCACCAAGACAATCGCCTTTTCTGCTAACCATGAAACTCCTGAAGGGGTCGAAGGTGCAGAAGATGTCCTTATTGACGATGATGATGGTGTCTCTTCTGGTCCTGCTGATTCTACTTGGAGAACTCTTTTAGGCGATTTTTTAGTAGGTCTTGATGGTGGAACCTCTGTTGGTGTTGTGAGTGAAGTTTTGGACGACGACGGTGGATGTATAGAGGGAAGCGATGTTGATGATGATGGTTGAGCTGATCCCTCTGTAGTTTGCTCTTCTTGTGGTTGTTGCTCCCCTTCTTCTGTTTCTTCTCCGATCGGCTGAGACAAATGCGGCTCCTTCTCCCCCTTCTTATCGCCCTCTGCAGCCACGGCTTAGGCCGATTATCGCCACCTTCCGGTGCGTGCCTTCTCAACTGGGGCGCTGTAATTCTCAGTTCTTACTTCTTATCAAAGATCTAACTCCTCTCACACCTAGGGGGTAGTAGTGACTTGGGAACAATGTACACAGAATCTGGGATTCTTCAATTCCAGAGGTTGAATGTAAACCAAGGCTGAGTTCTCCCGGATCTCAATGCAAACAGGGACTTGGGAAGAATACGAGGTAGCATAAGAAAATAATCTTTTTAAAGCAATATTGGTGAGTTGGGGGTAGGGACGACGACAAACTTCAATATATTGGTATTATATATCTAATAAACGTGTAAATGCTACTATAGACGGAAATCCGCGCTCACACAGGCTCCCGCGTGCTATTATATGTTTAATGTGCGTGCACGAATGCCTATGAGCGGTCTAGGTCATATATTCCATAAAACAGGTTTTTTGGCTAACACGCCCGCCAATTGGTCAACGGACAGACCAATAGTAATGCCAAATTGATCACCAGGGCAACGCGGGCCAATCACGGTCAAGCAGTGCGTTTTTTTGTTTTTTTTTCTGCTAAAACATTACCACACAAACCGAATTAGAGATGAACATCTTTCCGCTTTCGGTTTCGCATAGCCTTTACTAATATTTACACTTAGCATGCTTCTCATTTTAGGGGAATATATGCTTTTTCAAACAAAAATACTCTCATTTTTACCGCAATTGCCCATTTTGGTGATTTTTTTGTTTCAATTCTAAGTCTTTTAAAATGCTGAATTATTGAAAAAATAAAATTTTGAAGCAACCGTTGACCTATATTTTAATAAATAAGCAACATTTTGATACTGAAACTAATTAACTGCTGGGCATTTTGCTAGATGTTTTACTCTATTTAAGGTATAATTGAGTGTAAATATTGAGTATGTCCGACTGTTATTGCCAAGTTTCTTGGTGATCTTTATTTTTAAAGCTATATTGCTAATATACTAAAATAAGCTTAGTAGATTAGTAGATTTAGTAGATTCTTCTAAACAGACTAAGTATAATTGTGGATTAAATTGGGGAAATTACATTAAATAAAGGAAAATAAATGCTAGGGGACTTACTGGAAATATGGTGATCTGCTGCGATTGTTTCTTTTAAGTAATATAAAATCCAGAAAAGTTCTGAGATGGGCAGGCGCGTAAAGATGAATGGATTCATTGGCTAAATATATTGAAAGCAAGGTGTTTTCAACAAAACGTAATGTTAGGAAGACAAGGTCTTGTTCAAGGTCATTCCACAGCTGATGCATGTGCCCTTTGAAATTGCGAGTTTACGCTCCTGAAAAGCGCGTGAATTTATGTGTGCGCAAGTGAAATTACATAATCACTAATCATCGCATAATCCCTCTTTCTATTGCAGAAGTACAATCTCTCAGGTATCCATTGGGCTTTTCTCTAGTTTTCCTACTTTAAAACAAAATCACACATTCCCCCAGAAATTCGCCAATACTCGCCTCTATTAATGAAGTAATTACGTGGTGAACGAAACGGGGAGTTCTCCAAGGCAAGGCAACCGAAATAGTGCACCGAAAACTGAAAATGCTGAAAATGCTCACTAAAGAACCCTGATAGACACATATTTAGTTGTATATCGATAAATATCATATAATAATACCAACTAAGTTTTACCTTAGTGTTTTAAACAGTGTTAGTAACTTTAAGGAAGGGATTTGAGATTTCGATTTTACTGAAAGTATCGTAACTCAGTGGTTTTAATTTGCGTTCATGTCCTCTACCAATTTTGCGGAAAGTCGTTAATTTTAAAATAAACGCATTTTTAAAGATTGGAGCCCATATTATACCCATGCAGATTGTTAAATACTATTTGCGCCCATAGGTGATCAAAATATTTGTCGACATTAACTGCGATGAATAGTCAATCTTCGCATGTAGGTGTAGGGTTGGGACGATGGGGCTGCGGGTTGGTTGAGAAATAGTGAAGATAGGTAATAAATCACCGAGATCATTATCGAGTCAGCTGTCAGCATGTAGTCTTCGGGTTGTCTACTATTACCTTTCCATTATGCTTCAGCTATTGGGTATCTCTATGAGTTCCGGTTTGAGATATTCCGATGAATGAAGTGCGCGAAAGACCTACTTCCACGCGATGCATCCTGGGCAACGTATACTCATACGACAAGTAGTCCATAATCGGTCTTATATGGGCACAGATTTTTAGTCAGAAATTCAAGAAATTACATTCTTCCCTACCTAGGAAAAAGTGAACATAGCCAATTTTCAATTTCCTTTCCCAGTTGACCTCAGTACTGAACGAAGAAACGAGGTTATTCCATATAGCTCACTTCTGGGTAAAGCAAGCTTGCCTCGAATGAGTAATATGCTGGTAAATTGTACTTTCATTGCAGTATGGGAACCTCCTGGTGAAGAATTCGCAATCAAACAGATGGAAATGAAATATGTAAAAATATGAAAGGCATTTAAAGAATACAACGCACCCGGAATGCAATGAAGGGCAAATCGTTAAAATATTATGAATAGTTAAGTTACGCTTTGCACATGTTAAGAATCCCTAAAGTACAAAGATACCAGATGAGGAAGGTCATCTATTAGTTTGCCTTTTAGTACTAAGACACTTCTTTACTGAAGCTCAAAGTTTTCGTGATAACTTGATCCGAAACAACATGCTCTGCTAATTTCAAATTTTAACACGACATCCAGTTTGTTTTCATGTCGTTAAGTCCCTAATGAATGTCACAGGCCTGTGTCAACAATTCGCAAGGTGGTAGAACATCTATAAATGGAAACATGCTAATTATAATGTTGTTTATACCACGCAGATCTTGTTCTAGAAGCTTAAAAACGGTTAGGTTTGTATAGAAATTTCAATTTGTGGCAGAACCTTACTCTACAAACACCAGATGAACCTTGCAGTGAACTCAAGAAAGGGAATGGAAGTTTCTTGTGAAGGCTTCATGTATGAGAAGTTTTTTTACTAAATGACTAGCGACAGCTGGTTCAAACAAAACTATGTAATTCGAGCAGTGACCATCAATTATTCTAAAAGTTATTTCCTTAAGACACTAAATGCTCAAAATTTATGTTACAATTCTTTGACTGCTGACCTAAGAAGCCTTATTTTATGCGCTATGAAGTCCGCTTTCAGTCTTTCATGCAAATATCTTTAGGCATTTGTTGATTTCTTTAAAAATTTACATTTCGTTGTTCTAATTTCAAAATATTTGTGTTGCTCAATCGAACATAACCAAACCGGATTTGTTTGCATTAACATACATTTAGCTTAAAGATGTATGGAGATAACAGCAAATATGATTATTTCAATCGTTACTTCGGAAGACTTCCAATGAGTCAAAAGTTTTGATATTTGGGACATCCAATAATTAATTTTTCATGATTTTCGGTAGTGGATCAGCTGGTATGTGTATTTGCTTAATACAGTGTTCAAAGAACACACTCAAGGCCGTAAGTTAAGTTCGAAAAGGGACATGTTTTATGCAAACAACGAGCTACTTCATGTATATATATATATATAGTATTTTAAAACATATTGGCTCTCAACTTTCTACATACATCTATTGCTTTATTACTTGGTATTGATTTCAAAAATTTTCGGATGTACCATATTCATTTTAGATAATGGGGAAGTAACCATTTGGCCAATCATATGAAGTTGAATGATGAATTCAAATACATTTCCAAAGTTATACCTAAGTCATCTCGAATGTCTAAGGCCTAACTATCTCGACCTTACTATGGTGATTAAAGCATTTGACAGTGCCCTGACCCACGAATGTTCCCAAGTGGTCTGTCTTAAACAATAGGATGCGATAATTGAATGGTCCCTAAGTGGTTACTACTAAAGTTCAGCAATGCCTGAAACTATTCCATCTGTTTATGTTGCACTTTCCATGAAACTATAAAAGCCCATTTTAAGCAAAACAGAGAGGTAGAGTAGTACTAATAAATCCATCTTCCTCTTACTCCTCTGAATCACCATCGAGATTTTGTTCATTACACTTGGAGATGAACTGCCCTTTGTGTTCTACTTTTCTACTTTCTACTTTTTTACTGTTGTTAGAGAATAGCCATTAGTTCTTACTCCAACAGTGTGTTTTGAATCTATTCAGACCTCGGACATCTCCCGTTGTGGGCATCTATATCAATACCTCGAGGCATCATGCACCAATTCAACATAATTTCAAAGTAATCTTTCAAAATTGGCTTCAAAATGCCAAGCAAGGTGAGTTGAAGGAGCCTGCCTTTGTTACATTTAGTGTACATAGTGAACAATAAATACTTATAAGAGATTTACACACATAACCATGCAAACGATGATGTTCGCTATTTATTTTAAAAATGGTTGTAAATATCCCCCTCTACCCCCCCCCCCCCCCCCTCCAATGAAGCCACTAGAATGATCATCTACGAGGTAAATGACTCAGGCGAAAATGCTCGAAGAAACGTGTCACCCCACTAACCAGGCCTACAAGGATTTTATTTAAAATAAGCACATGAAAATCACTAGAGCGAGGCACACTAGATAACCCAACTGCAAATACTTACCATCATTTTTTTATATCAAGGGAGTCAAGCAGAGATAATATGACTATTAGATTCAGCACCTTATTTGATTGGAATAAACTTTTGAATTCCTTTTAGTTTGAAAGAGGAGGAGCTTTGATCTCCAATGAATAAATTCACTAATTAAGATTCAAGAACTGCTAATACATGTATAAATAAGAAAAAAGGTTATAGAATTTCGACGGGGGATCAATGAAATAGAAAATAATCGCAAAATAGTTTTATAACCAATAATTATTATTTTCCTTAACTATTAGGAAACCTTAAGGCCGTCAGTTTGTTAAATTACTTTGGCAAAAATAGTAATTCCGATTGAAAGTTATTTATTTATTTATTTCAAATTGCAGGCGTTTTGATAGTTATCATTAGCCCTTTAGTTGATTTCAGGCTTCAAACAAGGGAAGTTTTAAGCAGAAAACTAACCTAAGTGGCCAGTAAGTTTTGAAAATGGACCACAAATATTATTGCGTTAGCCTCCGTATATTTACAAAGCTCTCATATGGTACAGATTGGTAGATAGGGTGGAAAATATTCTACAGCATTAGTCCTTCTAATAGAAAACCACTAAGCATATCACCACACCGGAGTTAGTGTTTTTGGTCTCAGCACGATACTTTCCTCAGGTTGTCTCTAAGTTGCCAAATAGCCATGACAATATGTGACCAATGCAATTATCGACAGCTTAATTGTTAATAGAATCAGAAATAGCTGTCAGTCCGGTAATGTTTTAACTTAAAAGACTAAATCTTACCTAGATTTGGCAATATTTTGTGAGAAGAGAGATAGCAAGGCCGGAAATCAGACTTACCAGCATTGTAACAGTTTAAATAAGTTTTTCTTTACATAACTTCCATAAATATGTGAAAATTAATTTTAGTTGTAAATAGCTTAGTCGATCATCAACTTAAATGTTGAAATTGCGAATTAATCTTCTGACAATCTGATTGGTGGGCTGTGAGTTAATGTTCAGAGGTTGGATCTAAAGTTAGAAGGTGGATATCAGTAGATCTATCTTTTATCATGTACATATTCATGGGGTCATACATTTACAGTTTCTGCTAAATATTTACTTGGAAATGGAATAACGGAAGAAATCGGTTGATATACGTGCAATTACATTCAGACATCTTTATCGAGATGAAGAGTAAGATAATGTGGAAATAAAGGATCTGTAGGCACTGATGAACACGAAGCAGTCATTATTTACAGGTGTTGATCGAGAAGATTACCTTTTAAAGAAGTGTTAATTTTTTAAAAAATTCAAAGTTTATATGTGAAGACGAAGAAACTGAATGATGAATCATGGTTAAGACTAACTTGTACCATAATGATCCAAATCAGCCTTCAAAATAAGGAGTTCATGGTTTTTTCTTACTGTTCGCTTTTCATCGTGAAAACAATCAGGCATGAAGTGGAGGATTGCAATGGAGGTTAAAAATTTCATGTGGCTTAAAGAAGCACCTCAGAAACCGAGTCTTTGTTGTCACAGTTGATTTAAGGTTTCGGCCTCTGCAGTTATATTTTCACTGAATGCAGTTTTTCACTAATATTGGCTAGAACAAATGTCCTAGGGTCGACTTCACACAGAAGAGACCAACAAAAGTTGGTAACTGACAAAGGCGAAAAAGTCCTGAGTAAAGAGAAACACTCTGCTGAAGCATAAATAAACTAATTCTTTTGAGAGGGAGGGGGAATTTCGTCAACATTAAAAGAATATCACGTAGAATAGCAGACAACTTAAATACTACACATCATCTTTTTCGGATGTGTATCCACCTCCCAAATTAAAGTGGTGCATTCCATCGCATTTTCAAAAGAGGGGTTGGGAAGGAGATCAGCTCAACGCATACATACAGTTGCCGACCGCAGTAGGTAACTTATTTGCATCACAACAACAGAATTGGACACCTGTCACACCTCTGATGTAAATGAAAAAATAATTGTCAGTCACTCTTTAAGATTACGCCTGTCCATTTATAGGTTCGCGAACTTCTCAAACACATTCCCGAATCTTTACCTGATATACTTTTATTTATGCATTGAGTGGTGTCGAGACAGTCACCACTTCCAATGCCAATCCTATAAAAGTCAACCAATGAATGCAAAATATGAAAGGAATATTGAAAGTCTTTTAATTTAAGGTGTGAAATCAATTTGGTTCATGTTGTGGGACCGATAGTGGATTGAGTCTATTACAGCCACTAAATGTGGTTATTTAGTGAAAATCTCTTCCATATTAGTTCAACTTTATGGTCTACTGAAGTCCTCTTATACTCGTTTACCTTTGTTGCTACCAGCCGATTTTTGCCCATTTTCTGATGGGGTTGTCCAATTTATCCCTAACACCCTGTAGGTGGTGTTTAGAGTGTAACCAAGGTGTCCTCTGAGTTTTAGTTTCAGTTTGAGAAATCCATACTCTGTGGTTTGT